AGCCACCAGGAGGGGAAGGTCGGGCTGCCTCCACCAGCGTCCCCGGGGCCAGGCCGACCGCGGGCACCATCAACAGCGGCGGGGAGGAAGGGGAGAGGAGGGCTGGAGGAGGAGGAGGTCGCCACGCGACCGGTCGCCCGTGGGGGCGACACGATCGCGAGAGGAGAGGGGGTAGCGAGAGGTTGTTATTAATTCGCACGCCCTCAAAATATGTCCTTATGGAATTATATATGTGTTTGTGCATGGAAACGCTTACTTGTTTGGCATGGAATTATGAGTAATGCTATATCTAAGGGTGGATTTTTACAGTATTAAGGGGAGAAAGATTTAGAGGCTGATTGGTTAGGGGTGAACCCCGCCTTGAAATTGGGAGGAGGAGGGAGGGGGACTAGGCAAGGGAATATTCTCTCTCCCCGTAGCAGTCCCATAATAAACCATAGGTGTACTTGGGCCTTTTTTGAGCCTTTGCATGCTCAAGGAAACTGGCAGATTACTAGTGGAATACAATATGCTCTGTATACTAGAAAGACTATCTATATATGTTGATAATTGAAATAAGCTAGATTGTATAATTAGATTATAACCATGGTTTTAAAAGCAGCTATAGCGTTTAGAAGAGGTCCTACGTTAAGGGACTTTAAAAGAGGTCTTGCCTAGTGACTAAGGACCTAGTGACTAAGGATCCCGGATCTAGAGCTCGATGGGAACAAAAAAATACAGTTAATTCATAATAATAATAAGTAAAGCTATAAATCCACAGATCTAGAGCCTGCAAGCTCATTCTGCCTGTATTGAGGAAAGCTTAGCCCCATTTCTGGCTGACCCTTAGATGTATCTAAATTGTCATAATTTTATTGCCATTGGCCTCCAAAATCTCTAAGTTTTAATGTAGTTAGAACCGACAATTGGTATTTAGAGCTTGGTCCAGTCATCGGCGACGAGTTTGATTCGGACACGAGGAGTTGGGGTTCCCATAAAATCCTTCTCTTCCACCCTTGATCCCGGCGGCGATTCACTCGGGCGCATATTTGGCTTGATAAATGTCTCCCTGAGTATTGTTTCAATCAGAGAGAAAAGTATGTACGACTGCTAAAAACACGCATGCTTGTGAGAGAAGATTTTTGCCTCCTGGGATCAGAATTTTTAAAAAACTGAAAATCAAAATATTAATTATTAAAAGTATCTGAAAATAAATACACAGGTACTTGGGGATTCGGTTGCGATAGTATTTCAATAAGATTTGATCGTGTGAAATATAAATATTTAGATTAATAACAAGTGACACAAAATTCAATTTACATATGACTTATTATATTTCACTACCAGAAACTGTAATTTTCTGTGGGCTAAATATTTTTCCTATCGGGTCTCGCAGAGAACACACAGTAAAATTCCTATCCATGTCAGTCTGCAGCCCAGAGAGAAATAAGGAACATGACACGCGCGACCCACCTCCAAAAACGCTACTGTGGTGCGAATTCTTCTCCACTTCCCGCGGGGAAGCCTATTTTCACGCATGTTATCCCGCTGCTCCGTCCCCTGAAAATTTTGATTGTGTATAACTACAAAATATTGTTTAAATATAAGGGGATAATATAGAATGAAAAAAAAAATCTCATGCACGGTTGCATTTGGTGGTGGGTCTTTTCTCTTACATGGTTGCATGTTGAAGTTAGAGCTATCCCGTTCATAATTGTATGATAACGTGGTTTGTTTGCATCTCATGATAAATAAATTAGTTGGGATCACTGGCTAAGGTACATTGGATGAGTTGTGAAGAACCCTTTGATCGATATTGGACACTACCACAAAAGGTACTAGTTAGATTGCTGGGATTTTGAAAGAAACATCAACTAATGAGGACAATCTCTAATTATAATAGAGAAAGAAATGGTACGTAAAAAAAGATTGAGAGTGCTGGCTGTGGGGTTCGAACCCACGCGCAGCTTGACTGCAGAAGATCTTAAGTCTTCCCCCTTAACCACTCGAGCAAACCAGCTGATTTTGTATTTAAATCATTAGCCATTCTTATGGCTTATAATTTTCTGTTTCCATGTTTCGAACAAATAAACATTCAGGGTGTGTTAGCTCAGGGCAACTCCAAACGCGGATCACCTAATCACCCTTAAATGTTTGAATCGGGTTGTCAGAACATATTTTCTTTTTTGCCATCCACAGGTCATCAAATTTGTTTGGACGAAATCTTACAAATCGGAAGCAAATATATAAGAGGTTTGGGGGCGCCCTGACCTCTGTCACGTCAGACCTTGACACCCCCCGCCCACCCAAAAATCCCAACTGGAGCCTGCACATTTGGGCATTTCCATCATTGTTTCCGCGCCAAAGTCTGCCCTTTCCCACTGCCTTCGCCCCGATTGCCGCCGCCCCCGACCGTTCCGGCACATTCGACCTTCGTGTTCGAGCCGCCGTAGGAGGACCCAAGGAGATGATCGTTGTCCCGACAGAGCCGGAGGACCAGAGTGTGGTGGACGTTCACAAGGTCGCGTCCGCGGAAAGGAACACGCGACACCACAAGACGAAGAGAAAGCTGCAGGTGCACCAGCAGCCGTCCATGGCGGACCTCATCCAGCAAAGTGCGCCACCACCTGCATGGGCAATCGACGGCGTGGTTGTCGCAGTTGAAACCGCCCTACTACTACGCCTCCCATCACCTTTGGTTCGGCTGACACGCAACAACTTGTGCAGCACTCTGCATCTTCAGGCCATCGAGTCATGTTCACCGTCGACCTCAATGCCGACTACGTCGCTGAGTCGCACTCGTCAGGGCTTGTTCGGTCGCGGATGTAAGTTGTGGACCGTTCATCCGGTCTCGTAGCCGCAATGTCAGTGCCCGGCCATTGTTCACCGCAATGCCTCATCCAAGCACGACAATGGAGGATGATGAGGCGATGTTGACCATTATCCTCGACGGAGGCGTCTACGAAAAAAGACGAGTGGATGGCTCCTAGGCAAAGGAACATCCACAGTTGGGCTCCTAGTAGACCCAGTAGGCGTGCACCCAACAGCCGGACACCCAGCAGCCTGTCATGGATCCAGACGAGCAGTGGCTGTCGGAAGGCGACCCAAACAAGAAGCAGAGGGGACTAAATTTCTCACACAAAGGAGGATGAATTATTGTGTGATGCATGGTTGGCCTCTAGTATCTATCCATTCAGAGCACAGAGCTAAGGGGTGTGGCGTTTTGGCAATGTGTGTGTGTGTGCGCATGCGCGCATGTGTGTGTGGTTTCATGAGCAAAAGCATTACGATACCTACCACAAGGAAGTGATCCATCAACGCGACGCGAGGTCGCTCACCCATCAATGATACAACATTCAAGAAGGTGTCAA